CCCTCCCTCCCGAGTACCGACTACATTGAAACCCCCTCCTTCGTTCCTGTTTCTGCAAGAAAGCATGGCAAGTGCTTAATAGGTGCCAGACACTTGGGGACATGACCTCATCCCATCTCTCACCATTTATGGTAGGGATGCCTGTTGTTTAAGCCAGTTCTAAGGTTGAGGAAATTGAGGCTCAGAGACGTTAAGCAACTTATCTAAGATCACAGAGCTACTAAATGGCAGAGTTGGGACGTGAACACAGGCAGACCACCACAATGAAGGGAACTGAGCGTGGAGGAGGAGCAGTGGATCTAAGCAGCCAGAGGTCATGTTGACCTCCTTCCTCCTTCCTGCTGCCCCTTAGTCCATAACGTCTCGTGCTTCCACTTTTGTAATACTCATGGCTGAAAATTACTCGGCCACCCCACTGATCCCCTGGCTCTGACGAGGCTGAAAACTGTCACTGAATAGAAACAGTATCTATTCTGTGTTCCACTGTATTCACGGTATCCCTAGCACTTAGCATAATGACTGGCATATATGAATACCTGATCGGTATTTGTTGGGGAAAAAAAACTGAACCTGTTACAGAGTTGGGAAGGGAAGGGGCTAGCTAGAGGGACTGGGTCTAGGGACTGGGTCTTCCAGAGTCTTGATGATCATATGATTAAAATGTATGTCAAGAGGCCCTCTGGGGGGGCTGGGGTTGTGGCTCAGTGGCAGAGTGCTTGCCTCGCAGGTGTGAGGCACTGAGTTCGATCGTCAGCACCACATAAAAATAAACAAAATAAAGATATTGTGGCTCAGGGGTGGAGCGCTTGCCTAGCACATGTGAGGCGTTGGGTTCCATCCTCAGCACTACATAAAAATAAATAAATAAGATAAAGATATTGTGTCCATCTACCACTAAAAAATAAAAATAAAATTTTTTTTAAAAAGTCACCTGGCCCATGCCCTGCTCCAGGTCTAGCCATTGCCCCGCCAGAGCCACCAAATCTGTCTCACTGGGAAAAGTGCTGGCCTGGCCCTGGCCCTTGGGAGAGCAGCTGCTTCTCTGTAGCTCTAGGGGGTGGCGTTGGCTGAGGTCTCTTCCACCTCTACCAGCGGTATCTGTGGTGGTGAAGAGACAAAGCCCTGTGGAAATGAGCAGCCCGTCTGAATCAGCAGCTCTGGCCCCATTCCCAAGAGCGCCAGCTGCAGGGGTGGTGAGCTCCCACGCCCGGCAGAGCTGGAGCCGTGGGCTTCTTCACAGGCCAATGGGGCCTTCCACAGTCAGAGGGCACCAGGCCTTCTAACCCATCCCAGGTGAGGCCACACATCCACCTCTGGTGCACCTGGAGCCCACAAGAAGCACTGGAAACTTCTCCTGTGAGGCCCTGTAGGGTACAGTCTCTCCGCAGGGCATCCACACTTCTTCCAGGCCAGGCCTGCCCCCCACCTGGCCTCCTTCCTTCTTCCCAAGATTTGGCCCTTAAAGACCCTCAGTCATTTTCAAAAGAGGAAAGCCACCCTAAAGGACAGAGATGCACTCCCCAGTGAGGCTTTTCAGAGCATATGCCACAAGCTCTGAGATGATTCCAAAAGAGTTTCCAGAAATGTTGGAGAAACAGCAGCACCCTGGTACAGCATATGGCTTCCCCGGGGGGGGGCCACTTGGATGGGGTCATTGCTCCTTTGGGGGTTTCAAAGCAGGCTGGAGTCTAACCACCTCCGCAGAACAGTGTGTGAACCTGCGCACCTGTGTTCAGCACACGGGAGTCTGCCTCGGCCACACCGGCCTCCAGGGTTCTAAACCTGGTTTTGAAGCTTCCTGGCTAAGGGACCGTTACATCCCTAACTCAGGGCAGACATAAAAATACAAAGAAATCTGCAGGTCACCTGGTCCCCCCCTTTTGTAGATGAGGAAACTGAGCCCAGCGAGAGGAGGGAGGTGTTGGGGGATCCCAGAGGCACCCAAGGACCTGGTAGCAGAGGCCGAGGCTGAACCTGGCCTCCCAAATCCCTGCCCAGGTGGCCCATCTCAGCAAGGCCCCACGCTTCCACTCTGCCCTCAAAAAGTAAAATAAAGATACGAATAACGCCTGCCCGCCCTCCCGGCTGGTTGTGAGAATTGGAGAACTCAGGCGTGGGGAGGTTAGCGGGGTGAGGAGGGGTAGATAAGCAGAAGCAAAAAACCCAGAGCAACCCAGAGTGGCCCCATTAGCCCAGAGCCCAGGCACGAGGGCAGGGAGAGTGGGAGCCGTTAAGTGACTGCATCAGCGAGTCACATCCCTGTAACCTTAAATATTCATGGCCCCAGAGTGCGCCATAGAACAGCTGCTGCTCTGCGGCCACCAGGCTGTGGCTGCATCGGGGACTTGCACACTCAGACACGCGAACGCTGGGGGCTGCAAAGGCTGGCCTCGAACTCTTACTCACGCTAAGATGGGTTCCAAGTGCAGTGACAGGCCCTCTGCCACTCCCAGCCCGTGTGAGCAGCCCACACTTGCCGACACCCACACACCCAACAGGCACCCTCAGTTACTCACCCGGCTCTGGGCATGAATAAAGGTCAAAGCGACACACACACCTTCACAGACAGACACACTCCGCCACCACGCCACCCACAGATGCTGCTCCCCCGCCCCCCCCGCCCCATCTCCCACTCCCAGGAGCTCTCTCCCCCTCTCTACTCTCTCCTCCTCTGCTCCACCCCCCACCAGCTGCTCCCAAAGCCCCCTCTTCCCAGGAAACCCCTCACCAGCCATCTCTCCAAGGCCTGAGCTCTCAGGGCCCCTCTCCCGACCTGTGGCTTTCAGGACAGGGGGCTCTGAGAGTCTGGGCTTGAGAAGGGAAAGATGAGTTGAGACTTTGGGAGGCCTCTCCAGGACCAGACCAAAGTTTGAGGGAAGGAAAGGATCATGGAAGAGAGCTGGGCACACTGGGTGACCTGGTGCTGTAGGTTGGGGGGGTGTCTTCTTGAAAGCCTGGGAAGGTGACATCCTGCCAGGAGAGAACCAGAGGGCAAAACCTGCAGCTATCAGTGAGCGTGGACCTTCCAGGGGCCAGGTAGCCACCTCACATGATCTGCCCTTGCCCCATGAGGCAGACACCATTCTGCCATTTTTTTTTTTTTACTAAAGAGATCCAGGCTCAGTAAGAGGAGCCTAAGTCCACAAAGATAAGTGTGTAGGGATCCTGGCTTCAGGTCCTGCTCTGTATGTGGCAGGAGGGGGAGGTGATGGGCCCCTGGGTGGGCAGCACCGCCAGCCTCTGCTTCCCAAGCCCTCCTCCATGCCCTTGGTGGTGGTGGGGCGGGTGCACAGACTTAGGGACCTGGAGGACTGGGAAGACCAACCAGATGTTTGGGGGCAGACCCTGCTACCTTGACAGAGCAAAGAGGCCCTGCAGGTGGCCACCAGGTAGAGGGAGGCACTTCTTTACCTGTCAACAGCAGAAAGGGGTCACTTAACATGCAAGTGCTGGCCACAGCCTTCAGGGCCCACTGGGTCCCCACACCCGCAGCCTGGCAGTGAGAAAAGTGAGACCGGCCTGTGTAAAGAGATCCGGCTAGGGGAGGAGGCAGGAGAGGTTATTTTGGGAGGTAAGAGGGGAAGGGGCCACGTGAAATCCCGACCAGGAGAGGAGGCCACTGAGAGCTGAAGCTGACCCCTTGGAGGACCAGTGATGGCCCCGCCGGCCCCAGGAGAACCAGCTGTAAATCTGTAAAGAACCTGCCAGTTGCTTGGCTTAAGTTTAAAAAGAAACAGATCTCCTGGAAAGCGGGTGGAGGCTGCCCCTCCTCCAGCACTCCCTCTCCCTCCTCCTCCCCCCAATTCTCCCACTTCATTCTCCCTCCCTCCCCAAACCCCAGCACCTCCCCTCCAGCTGTCCAATGATCCCCAGTCCCTCCCTAGCACAGGGCACATCAGCTCCTATGAATATACTATCTCCCTCACTGGCTAGTATTGATTGGCATCTTGGTCCTACACCAAACCAGTAAGTTCTTCACATAGTCTAACTTCCATGCCTTCAGTTACAGCAAATGATTTTCATTATTCTGCCAATAATGAAACTGGAAACCAACCCGGTCTGTAAACAAGCCACCCCACCAAAGGAGTCTTCCTTTCCATCCCTCAGCATTTTCCCTTTGCAAGCCTTTCACCCACTTAAGATCCCCATAATTCAGCAAGCCGAAAGTGAAATCTATTTCACAAGCATTAGCGGCTCCCCACCCCCATTACTCCTTCTGCCGAGCCCCAGATGGTCCTCTCTCCCCAAGCCCTCCACCCACTCCCTTTGGCACTTGAAGGGAGGCTCCCTTTTAAGACCTTCTGGGGCCTTCAGCTCCTTCTCCCTGTTGCTGAGTGAGCACTGGACAGGGGTCTAGACCCCCCCCACCACTTCCCCTCCGAGTGTTCACATCCACTCTAGGGTTTTCCTCTCAGAGGAAAGTTCCTCTCCAAGTCTAACCTTAATTCCTCCTGCTGCAAGCCTAAATTCCCTTTCCATCTTTTCTCCATGGGATCATTCCCTTTGGATTAGAAATGAAATCTTCCTCTCGCGTTTGCAGCCTCCCCTCCCCGCCGCGCCTCTCCACTTTCCCAGACCCTCAAACCTGCCCCAGCTTGAAAAAGTTCTTGGTAACGGCTCCCAACACCCACTGCCTGCTCTGAACTCCGAAGATACCTGGGTATCCGCCCCGGCTGTCTGTCGCCCAGGACAGTGACCGGGCCACGGAGTGGCTCGCTCGCCCGGAGGCGGTGACCCCTGCAGCCGCTGGCGCAGCCACGACGGGGTTAAGGCTCCGGGCTGGGGGAGGGGAGGGGGCCGGGAGGGGCGGGTGCGGAGCCAATCGGCGGCCACCGAGTCCCCGGGGCGGCGAGCGGGGAGCGCTGAGCCGGGAGCCGGAGCCGAGCGCGCCGGGCTGGGGCCGGGGCCGGAGCGCAGCGGAGAGGGAGCTGCCCGCCCCAGCCCGAGTCCCGCCGCCGTCCCCCCTCCCGCGGCGCGGGCCAGCGGCCGCCGCCCCAGCCATGGAGCAGGACCACAGTCCCCGGAAGATCCAGTTCACGGTCCCGCTGCTGGAGCCGCACCTGGACCCCGAGGCGGCGGAGCAGGTGCGGAGCAGGGCGGGGCTGCAGGGGGGCTCGCGGCCAAGGACAGGGACCCCGTGCCCTGAGGGGACCCGGGGCCCCCGCCTCGTCCTCGCGGCCGTGCGCCCTTAGGAGGGTGAACGCGCTCAGTTTGGGGGTCTCCTGCCCCCTCCCCCACCGTCGGAGCCACGTCGCCCATCAGGGCTTCTCTGAGCAGGAGCGAAGGACGAGCGCGTCCAGGCGCTGTCGGTCCCCCAGAGTGTGGCTCCCTTCCTCCCCAGCCCTGGGGGAGGGGGCCTGCCCGAGGACGCGACCCCTCCCCCCTTCGGCAAGCTCACGTCCCCCACCCAGGCAGCCCCCGCCGGAGTTCCTGAGCTGGGTGGCGGCGCCCAGGGTGCCCACAGCAGCGGGGAGGGAGGGCAGGGCGGGGGTCGGTAATGGAGGGAGCCTGGTACTGTGGGAGTTGGGGAAGGAGGAGCCGCTCTCTCTGCCTCCTCCCAACTGGAGCTCCGGAGAGTGCTAACGGGAAGGGGCTGAGGTCACCCAGCGGGCCGGGGGCTTAGGGGACAGGGCTGGGAGGTCCGCAGACTTGAGGCTCCCTTCTGCGAGGTTTGACACGTGGGTCCTAATTCCCAACTCCTGCCCTTGGCAGCGGGGCTACTGTAGAGGGAGTGACACTGTGGGCCAAAGGTGGTGCCGCCTAGGGACCGGGGGTCCAAGCTGAGCCATCCGCGAGGCACTGTGCGGGCCTTGGCTCAAGGGTGGGAGACCAGGGCCCTGGCCCAGCCTCCTGGCCTGGGCTATTTTTAGCTCACGCAGCCAGGCAGAGGCGGCAGTGTGTGAGTGGTGTCTCGGGGAGAGCGGGCGGGTGTGTGTGGAGAGGGCTACTACCTGCCGTGGGTGGCCAAATATTTGCGTATTTGCCCATGGCTCCATCTCCTTTTGTGTTCTCTGTGCATTCACACAGACCTCCCCATTCCTAAGACTATCCAGTTCCCACAAGGTCAATGCTCTGCCCCAGCCAACTGCCAGGTTCTCGCTAGGCCCCCTACTGAAAAACTTGGGGACCCCTTGGGACCTGCAGGAGAGAGTAGTTTTGTTGCTGCCCCAGCTGTTGGGTAAAATAAGGTCCAGATGTGAAGGGAAAGGCGGGTACCTCTTTATAACTAGCTTCCCAAAGGTGGGGTGCAGTAGGTGCCCTCCTCCCTGGCCAAGGTGAGCCCCTCTGCAGACCTCTAAAGTGTGACTGCAGGAGGGACTGTGGTGAGACCTTACAGACCTGAGGATGTGGGGAATGAGGAACCACCAGCATGGGGAGCATTCCCCTGTGGTCAGGAAATAGGCTTTTCTGCCCAGAGACAAGGGACTTGCTAAAATACCTCCTAATCCAGGAAAGAGTCCCAGGAGTGTGGGCAGGTGGGGGGGGGGGGGGGAGTCCACACAGCACCACCTCCCACCAGACAGACAGGCCCAACACCTGCTCCTGTTTGGTGTTGGAGGAGGCAGGTGTAGTAGTGGGGGGGGGGGGGCAGGCCCACTGGTTTGGGGACTTAGGGGGCAAGGGAGGAACACCAGGCAGTCCAAAGAAGCCAGAGGGAAAAGAAGAGCTGAGACTTAGGTCTGCTTTTCTCTAGTCTTCAGAAATCTGTGTTTCCTCAGCCCTAAAATTCTACCTGCAGACCCGGCTCAGCCCCTCCTGCTGTGTTACCAAGTGCGGAGGCAAAAAGATCCAGAGGGGACAGGAGAGCCTAGCCCAGACCCAAAGGGAGGGTGAAAGGAGTTGGGAGTTCTGAGTTAAGGAGGATGAAGTACCAGGAGGAGGGGGTGGAAAAGTGCCCCAAACGACCAGAACTTTGGCATGATGGGTTTGAAAATAAATAAGAGGAAGTCACACGTACTGTTGGTAGCTAGGATTTGAGATAGGTACAAAAAACAAAAGTGGCCATCTACTCGTTTCCTAATAGTTCAGGTGCCTGGGAGGTGCCTTCAGAAGTCTGACTTTCCTCCCTCCTGCCGTTCAAAGTTCTCAAAGATATCAAAGTTCTCAAGGTCTCTGAGTGCCTCAAAATCTTATCCAAGGCAAGGAAATAGGTTAAGTAAAGGGACCCATCCAAGATCACAAAGCCCTGCTGTCCTTTCAAAGGCCATTTTTTTTACTTAAAGTCACCTTGAGCTCCCTGTCTGTTCCACCACTCCCCAACCCCAGGACAGGAAAGAAATTGAGGAGTCCTCTCCTAGTAAAGGTATGGTCTCCACCCAGCGCGTCCATGAAGCACCTGTCAGACATGAATGTCAGGTAGCCTGTCTTCCACCCACCACACCAGAAACAGCCAGAGACAACTCACAGTTAATGTTTGTGCATGTGTATATACACACACACACATACACACACACACACACACACACACACACACAGGACTCAGGCTGCCAGGGACCTTGAAATGTCACTAAAAACAGATGCTACTATGTTCTCGTGGAATGATGCCTTTCCCCCACAGACCGTCATTCTGTGCTGCTACCTTTTCTTTGGGGAGAGTCCCCTTCTCAGGCTAAACAGTCCCTCTTGCTGTAGCTGGTACCCACTTTCTAGACACAGAGAAGGGCACTGGTCTACCACCCCAGCCTTCACTGCCAGAGGTAATGATACTGAATAATGGACGCACAAAGATAGGGGCTTGGTCATTCATCCTCACCCTCATCCTCTGAGCCCTGCGTAATTTTAGCCCCTTTCTTAACCCCAGTAGCCTTTTCTGCCCTCTGCTACCCCATTGTTTCACTCTCTTCCAACCCTCTAAAGCATCCCAAGAAGGAGAAAAACTACACATCCCAGGAGTCCTCGGACTGACTTCAACAACAATCAACTTTATTGACTGCAGGACAAAAGTACAGCAGTGGGTGGTGTGGTTGGGGGTTGAGGGGAACTCAGAGCCTCAACAGTCAATCAGCTTTATATGTTTATATCTTAGAATGGGACCTTGAACCCGGGACAAGATTTTTTAGCTAACCTCTAAGCCTTGACAAGGGTCCTATATAGGATTCCACGGCCAGGGGACTTGCACATTCATACCATCCCTCCTGGAACTAATCTCCCCGACTGCGCTGGCTTGAGGCATGTTCCCTGCAGGTGCTGGCCCCCAAACAGTTAATATCTGCTTGAGGGATAGGATGGGAGGCTGAGGGAAAGCCCTATGCCCTCTCAGGTTATTTCTGACCATTGATCCAGGACGGACGGAAGGACAGCAGGCCAAGATCGATGCGTTAGAGAGATAAAGCTGCTGAGCTGGGGCAGGACTAGGGGGAGAGAGAGAGAGAGAACAGGGGGCTGGGGGTCTTGTAGGGAGCAGAGGTGGTCTTTTGGGTTGTCAAGAGTAGTTCTCCCCAGAGGAGGGGGATGGATCCAAGGATGTCTGCCCTACAATAGTGGGTCAGTATAACATGGCACTTTTTGAGGTAGGTTAAGTGAACTGGCCTCCACTATGTTTCTCAGTGGCTTTGAATGAGGCTTAATACTTCCATGTGCATTTGACCTCTTCCTTCTCTCCCACCTTCCCCCAGATTCGGAGGCGCCGCCCCACCCCAGCCACCCTTGTGCTGACCAGTGACCAGTCATCCCCAGGTAAACCAAGGATGGGTCACTGAAGGAACTAGGGGCCACCGCAGACAGCAGGGTTCTGGTGAGAGCAGATGGGTGCTAGGCAGAAGGCAGATGTGAGGAGTCAGGGATCTCCTTGTCCTAAGGAAGGGAAGCGGTAGCTGGACAAGCAGAATATCCTTTTCTGGAGCAGTGCAAGGAAGGAGAGGGGGACCACCTGGTTCCCAAGCCCCTCAGGAATTGGGATGGTCAACTGAGTGCTGGTTGCTGCGGCAACAGTTTTCCAGGTTTCTCCAGCAACTGAGATGTGCTGCCCCCACCCCCAGAGGCAGTGACAGCTGTGAGGGGGAGGACCCGCCTCCATCAGCTATCTTCATGGCCCCCAGAGGGGAAGGGGAAGGTTAGAAACAGTCAGGGAGCAGCTGGGATTCTGGCCACCAGTGTCCCCATCAAGGTCTGGGGAGAGAACAAGGTCTCAAAGAATGTCAGGGGAGCCTGACAAAGGACTGAAGAAATGGTGGCCAGGCTAATGAGCCAGCCTAGAATTCATGATGCTGGGGTCTCCACTTTCCCTCCACCCGTCAAAATGATTGCACTATCGTGGAGCCTACACAGAACAAAGCCACTGTTCTCTACAGATGTGCCTTCCCATGCAGGGCTCAATTCAGGCCTTGGGGTGGGGGAACAGTTGGAAGAAAGAGACATGGATACTTCAGAGGGAGAGACAAAGCAAGAAGACCACAAATTCTGCCTTCAGGAACCTCAAGGGCTGGGCAAGGATGTAGGCACAGATGGGCCACAGAGTCAAGGATAGGACTAGATGCACAGGACAGAGCCAGCCAGAAGAGCAGAAGGGGAGCTAGAGGGAGCAGACCAGCTTCCGGGGGGCAGATCAGGAAGGGGGTGATTTCAGAGTCCTTTCCCCTTAGATGTCAGATCTTCAGGGTCCCCTGGATTTCCTGTCCATATCACCTTTTCCTTCCCCTTGTTCCTCTCAGAGGTAGATGAAGACCGGATCCCCAACCCACTTCTCAAGGTGAGCTGGCCCTGCCTACTAAGCCCAGCCCAAAGAACCTACAGAGGCATTAGGGGATTCTTCCTCCAAACCCTAATACTCTAGATCTTGCTTGGGAGGTAGCTCAGTGGTGGAGTGCTTGCCTGGCATGTGCAAAACCCTGAATTCAAGCCCCAGCCCTGAAAAACAAACAAACAAACAAAAAAAACACTACAGAATCTTTGACTCTCTCTTCCCTGCAGTCCCCCAAAAGTGCTCAAGTGGACCCGAACCCATGCCCCTGCACACACACACACACACACACACACACTGTGTCTTACTCACCATGGTAGAAACAGCTGGGAAGCAGGAAATTTCTTCCCCCAACACCCCCTGCCCTTTCTGAAGCCCATACCTAGCCGGTAAGGCAGGGGGGTGGGTGGGAAGCGCTGACCCCCATCTGTGCTCTGTGTCCTTCATAGTCCACTTTGTCAATGTCTCCACGACAACGAAAGAAGACGACAAGGACCACACCCACAATGAAAGGTTCGGCAGACCCTTCCATCTCTCTTTGCCCCTCTATGCCTGAAACCCGGGAGCAGACTCAATGACCCTTTGGAAGGAGCGCTTGAGAGGACACTGAATCTACTTTAATTAGATTGGAGCTATTGCTAGGTGTCCTGGGCCCAGACCCTTGCTCTGCCACCATCTAGCAAGTGACCTTAGAGAAACTGCTTAACCTACCCAGCTCTGAATGCCACCTCAGTATGGCAGATAAATAATATATGTGAACTCATCAGCATAGTGCACAGCACAAAGAAGGTACTTAAATTATTTCCTGAATCCAAATTGAGTCTTTTCTCCTGCCCCAGGGGAGACCAGACAGCCCAGCAAGCTAGGAGTATCTGTCTGGTATCCTTAAAGACTCTTCCCCTGCGCCTCCCTTCCCTTTGGAAGAAGGCTTTCTGTGTTCTAGCTTGTATTTCTCCCTGTTGCCCAACTAATGTCCCTCCTTGTTCAGATCTCAGGGAATGGGAAAGTCAAACACCCAGCCATGTGTCACCAGTCCGTGAGTGGGGCTGTTGGATTGGGGGCCACAGGGGAGTTTCTGGGCAGTATGTCTAATGCTACCTCCCTTCCTGTGTGCCCCCAGAGCTCCAGACGATGGTTGAACATCACCTGGGGCAACAGAAGCAAGGAGACGAGCCTGAGGGAGCCACTGAGAGCACAGGGACCCAGGAGACCTGCCCACCTGGGATCACAGACACAGGAGCAGAGCCACGCCTGGGCACCTCTGGGACAGCACAAAGTACGTGCGCAGGCCAGGGAGGGCCCCAGGCATCCTGTCCCCCAGCCCTGCAAGAGGCACACCTTATCCACTAGGGGAAGGGAAAGAGTTGGTGCCTGGGAGGGCTCTCACCTAGCCAAAATCGACCCATGGATGTCTGTCTGTCCACACATTGCACATATTTGAATCCTCACCTTTCCTTACCATATGACTGAGCCCTTCCAACTTGGACCCCAGAGGTCCCTGTTGTGGCAGGACGGGAGAACCCACACAATGGGAACACCACTCGCAGGCTAGAATCCTGGCTCTGCCACTTGCCACTTTACAGCTAAGAGGCTTTGAGCAACTCAACCTCAGTCCGTAAAATGATAATGTGATAATGACAGTGCCTATTTCATTGGGTTGTTTGTGAATATTGAAATGAGTCTGATTCTTAGCTTAGCACCTGACACATACAAAGGCTGCAGTAAATGGCATCTGGTGGCAGTGGTGTTAATCCATGTCCACAGTCCCTTATCCCACATGAATTCCCAGAATTCAGAAGTTTTCCAATTTTGTGAAAGTGATACAATGTGTGTGTGTGTGTGTGTGTGTGTGTGTATACTGTATGTTATATAATACACTATAATCAAACATCAATATCCTATAATCCAAAGTATAGTCTTACTAATTGGGATACATAAAGACTAAAAATAGCCTCATATCAGTTCAGGTCAGCTTTAGCTACATCTTAAGCTTTTATCCCAACTTTTTTTTTTTTTTTGGATGGGGGGGGTAACTGGGATTCAGCTAAGGGGCACTTTACCACTAAGTTATATCCCCGCCCTTTTTTATTTTTTATTTATTTATTTTTTTTTTTTTGAGACAGGTTCTTACTAAGTTGCTGGTGCCTCCCTAAATTGCTGCCTCAGCTTCGCCAGTTGCTGGGGATCGCAGACAAGCACCACCGGGTTCACTGGTTTTTTGTTTTGCCTTTTTTTTTTTTAATCTACTCTCAGAAATTGAAAAAACAAACTCTAAAAAATGTTTTTAACAGTTGGGGTACAGAGTAGGGTTCCATGGTGCACGCCTGTAATCCCAGCAATTTGGGAAGCTGAGACAGGCAAGTTCAAAGCTGGCCTCAGCAACTTAGCAAGACCTTGTCTAAAAATAAATAAATAGATAGATAGTGAGCCTAGAGCAGTAATTGTGATTAGAGAAACCCCTTTTTGGTCTTTCCAGTTTGTTCCCAGCTTAGTCTTGGGCCCCTTTCAGGGATCACTGGGCCAGAGGATGCAGTGAGCAGAAGCAGTCCCTTCTCTCCAAGGCCTTCATAAATGCTACCTCACCTCCCACCTCCCATTTTCCCTCTTTAGAGCCTGCAGAACCCATCCCTAAAACTCAGGAGCGTTGCAGTGAGAAACCCAGCACCCATATACCACCATTGGATTCCCAGGGAGCCAACTCGGTAAGAGCCCAGGGCTGGGCCACCAGGCCTCCAGGAGAACAGGCTATGTACATAAGGGCAAGAGGCTAATATCTGGAATCAGAGAAAGGGGAAGCAAAGGACCAGCTTCTGTCGCCGAAAAGTTAGCCTTTAGGGCAAAGGAGTTACATCTCCTCTGACAGACAAATGAAGAGAAATGGGACTGAGCTGAAACAGGAGGGATTGAGGTTAGACTTTGTGTTGGACTTTTGGCTCCTGGAACAGGTAATAAAAGTGGATCACAGATTTTTTTTCATCAAGGGCATTTGGAATCCAAATAGAGACTGCCACCTGCCCACACTGAGTGGACAGCGGCCCTACCTGAATGTAGAGGCATTGCTGAGACAACCTTTTGGCAAGGGACCGAGACTTGTGACACCAGAGCTAGCTTCCTGAGAAGTAGATGGTTGGGTGGGCCAGAGGGGACAAGATGACCCTCTGGCCCCTCAGTCACCTTCCCTTTCTGCCCCTTCCCCCACAACAGGTCTGAGAGGAGGAGGCATCCTGGACCCACAACTGCAGTTTGACAATGCATGGACACTGGATCTGTTTCTTATTTCTTCACTTTTGGGGAAAATCTCTTGTTTTTAAAAAGTGATAAATTTGGTGTTAGGTCCTTGGCACTTTCCTTCTTTCCAGGCTTGGAGAATCCTTCTCCCTCCCCTCCTGTCTGCCCTCCTGCATCCCCCACCACTTCACCAGCTGCCTCTGGGTGAAGGAAACACGGAAACTGGGCAGAAGCCTTGAGAGGGGAATCCTTCCCCTTGATTTGATGTGGGAAAAGACAAGGGTCTCAGGTACAAGGTATACCTTCCGGGGTCCCAAGATGGAAGGACAGCCCCTGGTTCTTCATTTTCACTGAGGAAAGATCGCGCCACTTGGCAGGGATGCCCTGCAGCTGGAAGGCATGGAGCCTAAAGCCTGTGCCCTTGTCCAGCAGTGACTGGGTTTGCAGGCGCCATCTGCTGGACAAAGCGTGAAGTGCACTCTGGCCCTTAGCTCATGGAAAAAAGAGGCATTTATTGATGTGTCCCTCCTCCGGCAGTGAGACAGACCACCAGCCCTTTTTCCAATCCATTAGCAAAAGATGGATAAAGAGGCTCTGGTAGGGAAGTAAAGAGTCATCTCTCCCTTGTGCTAGGGACTGAGGAGCCAGAGTTAAACAAAGACCAAGCATAAGTGAAGAAATGTCCTCTGATCCCACAGCCAGGCCTCTCCTGCCACTGACTTTGATTTTCCCGGGTAGTAGAGAAGAGAAAGAGAGGAGATGATCATTCTTTTGCCCTCCTTGCTGAAGCAGCAGTGTTGTGGAGAGGGGAAAAGGGCACAGTTTGGGAGGTGTAAGCTGCACTCTGAAGGCCCCTCCTGTGCCTCTGACGAGACCTCAGCTCTGGGTGTCCCTCAGCTCACGCTCAGGGGGAGCACCCCACCAGCATCCCATCCAGCACATGACGAAGCTCCACCAACTTCCACCCAGTGAACACAAACACAGCCAGGCCCAGTCTCCCTTCTTTATTGATCTCTGGCTATAGCAGGGGCCAGGGAGACCAAGGGCAGGGGTGAGTCACATGCGTCTCTCCCCACTCAGGGTGGGGTGGGAAGGGCAAATTTCAGGGTGGCAGGTCTGAGAGACCATGAATATGGACTTCACAAGAACAGGGTCCACTGTACAAATGCATGAGTGGTATCTACAAGAAAGGAGGAGCCAGTCACCTGGACTTTGGCCTTTCCTGGGGCCAGGTGGGGGGGAGAGGAGCCTGAGGAGAGGAAGGGGCACCGGGCCTGGCTGGGCTCTCCCCAGAGGTTATGACAGCAGTGGCCCTGACCCCACCCCCACTGTCTGCCTTCTGCCCACCAAGTTCCCAGGGAAGGGGTCTTCTGGTGCCTGCGGCTGAACCAGTTCTGGGAGATGGAGGGAGGGGAGGGACCCTCTCTGTTAGTAATACAGGATTATTGGATTATAGCTCACCCTCCCCACACACCCTGAACCCCAACCCAGCTGGTCTCTCCTGCCTGTGCTCATAAAATACACCCTGAAGGTGCTTTGCTGTGGAGACCTCAAAGCACTTTACAGACATTGGTCGGATGGGAGCCTCCTAGCCCTGGGGACAGGAAGGAGGCAAAGGGCTCAAGACTTGGCCAGGGCAGGTAACAAGCCCCCAGCTCTCGAGGCCCTCAGGACAGGCCTCCCCTCAGACCTTGGCCCCCATGGTTCCTCTCTTCCCCTAGTCACCATCTGGGCATGAGAGAGAGAGAGAATCACAGGGAGTCAGGCAAGAGATGGGGCCGAAGCAGTGCAAGTGTGGGGTCAAAAGGATCCCACCCCACCCCTGTCCAAAAAAGGGACCATGCCCTGAAGGAACCCCCTCCCCTTCCTGCACACAGGGCTTTGAAAACCCCCTTTTATTCCTATTCCAGCCCTTCCCAAGGGAGGAGAAGGGGAACCCAGACCTGCCAGCTAAGATCTGGGGTGGGGGACTGAGGGAACCCCCGAAATGTATTGCTTAGAAACTTGGAGGCAAAAAGGATAGGGGAGGGCCCAGGGGGCTGGCATCTCTGACCCTCCCCTCTAGGCCCTGGGAAGCCTCCAGGAAGCTCCCCTCTTCCAGGTAGCCATCCGGCCATGAGGGGAGCCCAGAGGCAGGGGGATGGGCACAGTGACCACTGGGAGCCTGAAGTTCCCCAGTCTTGCTGCTGGGAAATTAAAGTGCACCTCAGAGGGTGTCAGATGGGGAGGGGCCCTTCCCCACACCCCACAATCTCTGGCATTTGGCCTTCTGGTGGGTTGTCTCTTCCATGACCTCCATGCTCCCTGGGAGCAGATGGGGGAGCCAGTCCCGATGGATGGTGCTAATGACATCAAACACTTCAGACTCGGTGAGGACCTGGGGAAAGAGGGAGAAGCTTCAGTGCTCTGGTCTTTGCCTTCATCTCCAGCCCAACCTGCTTCTCCAGGTCCTGCCAGATCCCCACTGGTCCCAAGTACAGTTGTACAAAAATGCCCTTCAGAAGCGAGCCAGCCGAGGGTATGAGCTGGGCTCACCTGACCTCACCAAGCCTGTACCCCAGTGGGTGTGCTGTCCCTAACCCTCACAAAGCCTGGTGCAGGTGCCACCCTGCACAGTTCTGCCCTTCCTTCCTGCAGGGTATGTGGGACCAAAGAGGGTGGAAGTATTTCCCATCTCCTACCCCTTTGCCCTGTGCCTTCACCTCCTCCACTTTATTGCCTGAATTGGGGACAGGAGAACCTCACATCCCCTGGTGCCCATAAATGACCCATCCAAGAGGCCGTGTTGATGCGACTCCCTGCCTCCACCACCAGCTCACCTGGGCCAGCCGGGGCTAGTCCAGATTCCCATTCTGGTTGTGTTCATCTTCTGCAGGGGAGGACGGGGTCTCTTCTTCACAGGGGGACAGCTCATCAATGGACATCTGGTTGGTGATGCCTGCAGAGGGGTGCAAAGGAAGCCGAGTTTAGACCAAGAAGTATTTTTTCCCCAAGAAAAAAACTGTGAAGGAGAAAATTAAAAAAAAAAAAAAATAGGGAATTCTCACCCACTGCTCTGCCTCCTCCCAGCCGAGCTCCCCTCTACCCATCATCCTTGGAAGATCCTCTCTAGCCTTGCCAAAACCCACAGCTCCCACCCCACAAGGAAGAGCCAGAGCCACCCAGTCACCCAGATCTACAGAGGCACACATCCATTCTAGAACAACCCAGGCCACTCAGATAGTCAACCTTTCCTGTGACCTAACTTTAGTCTAACTGGCTCCTTTCCCAACTCCAGGGGGTCAGAGTTGCCCCAGGGCTTATGAGAGCCCAGGCCGGCTGCTGCTCTCTCCGCCACCAGACAGGCTCACCCCCACACGCAAGGCCACCCACCACTTGCTGCCCGTTCCTTCCACTTCTGTTTGTTCTCCTGAATGTACTTGGTCCAGGTGGCACGGAAGCTGACCACGTCAGGGTTGGGGTCTCCCACCTCCACGTCTAGAGAAGGCTGGCGCCACTGGAAGCTGGGAACAGGACCCCACCCCAGATCCGGAAGTTAGAACAAGCCACTCCAGTACCACCTTCACAGCCCTCAGAGCGGAGCAGAGGAGACGGGTGGCCCAGAGGAGGCCTAGGGATCCGGGTCCTCTTTCCCTCTACTAGGCCCGCTGCAAGTCCCTGTCCCTCACCCCCCAGTGTCACCCCTCCCTCTCCACGCCTTCTCTTTGGAAACAAAGACTACTGGGAAAGCAGTAAAGACCACAAAAGGAAGAAACAAAAATGTGGCAAGGTGCAGGGTGCGTCCCAGGCCCTAGTCCCATCGTCTACCCCCGCGGCATGACAAGAGGCAGACGGGCTCCAAGCTTGGAGTGTGCTCCTCCCACGGCCCTGCCATGGCTGGACCTCGTCCCCAGGAATTGGTCCTCCGCACATCGAACGTTCCTCCCCCGGAACCAGGAGACCTGCTTACTCCAGCCCCCCTCACCTGGGCTGGTTTTTAGACTTGGAGTCATCATCCACCAGGGGCTGGACACTCTTCTCTGCCACATCGGTCAGCACAGAGAACGTGGGCTCCACAATGAAGTCAATGAAACCTGCAGGCAGGACAACAGAGGAGTCCTACCTGGACAGAGGACCGGGGCAGAGGACACAGCTGACACAGCCATGACCCCCAGCTGTAGGTGGAACAGAGTGGGGAGGTAACCAGGGGCTGGAACCTTCCCAGCGGGGACAGACTTTGGGATGATGTCTTTGTGAGCCCAGAGAACTACTCCTGCCATTGCGGCCCCTGGCCTCCCATGGCAGAACCCCATGCTGGAGCGCAGAAGCAGCCCTGCCTCTGCAGGAGGATTGGTTTGGGGGTATTTAGGGACTTGAAGAAATCTTGGCCCAGGCCCACACAGCACCCTTGACCCTTGCTGTTACACCCCCTTTCCTGTAGCAAGGCACTCACCGATCTGAGACTGCGCCACCAGAGTGGACGTGCGATCACAGAGTGGTGAAAAGGGCAGGCCCAGCTCTGCCTCCTTGTCTCCCTGCGGGGACAGGACAGGTGAGGAAGCTTGGAGAGAGTGCCTCAGCCCCACCAGACTGGTGTACAGCTGGGACGGCAGGGGCTTTAGGAGGGCAGGGGAGTTTCTGTGCCTGGGACCTGGAAGTGACTGATGTGCAAGAGAACGGAACTGCGGCAACCACCGTGAAGCTGTGAGGATGGAGGAGTTTATACCCCAGATTCGGGATGAGGTCAGCAGCAGAAGGTGGCTGAACCATCTGGAGCAGGAGTAGGGGACTTGCGGAATGAAAGCCACGAGAAGGCCCCCATGGGCAGAGGGTGGCCAAAGATGCCACTCTACCTGGCGGAAGAATTCTTCCATGAGGGCTTTGGTCCAACGGCTGTGGACTGACCACTGCTTGGTAGGATGGCTGATGTCAGCAGCATGGAGCAGAAGAGACAGGGCCTTGGACTTGTCAATCCTGGGTGGGGCAGGTGTCAAGGAAAAGGAAACTGAACTTTTAGGGAAAGGAAACCTGGGCCATTGCCAATCCCATGCCCTCTCCCAGACCCATTCAAACAAATCCTTTCA